TAATTATTATAATAATTTATTATAATAATTATTATAATAATTTTTTTATAATATGGTATTGTAACTTGTTTGTTTTTTGTTGTTATTATCGATATTATAATCATTTTATTATTATTTACTGTTATTAATTGATTTCTAATCTTACTTAATTTGATCTGTTTATTTCGTTTTTATTCATTTTTGCTGTTAAGTTTACTGCATTTATTTTTATTTATTACTATTATTCTTGGTGTTTAAGGTTACTTTATCACTTTTATTTAATTCTTTTACCTTATTGTTAGAAGGGATCATTGATTTTTCTGGGATGCCTCTTCTGGTGCACTTGATGCTGGTGAAGGGCTCTTGATCCACCTTGATGCTGGTGAAGGGCTCTTGATCCACCTTGATGCTGGTGAAGGGTTCTTGATCCACTTGATGCTGGTGAAGGGCTCTTGATACACCTTGATGCTGGTGAAGGGCTCTGATCCACCTTGATGCTGGTGAAGGGTTCTTGATCCACCTTGATGCTGGTGAAGGGTTCTTGATCCACCTTGATGCTGGTGAAGGGCTCTTGATCCACCTTGATGCTGGTGAAGGGTTCTTGATCCACCTTGATGCTGGTGAAGGGCTCTTGATCCACCTTGATGCTGGTGAAGGGCTCTTGATCCACCTTGATGCTGGTGAAGGGCTCTTGATCCACCTTAATGCTGATTAAGGGCTCTTGTTCCACCTTGATGCTGGTGAAGGGCTCTTGATCCAAATTGAGTTACCATGCTGAAAAAGGGCTCTTTTTCCACCTTTTTTGCTGGTAAAGGGCTCTTGATCCAAACAGTTGGAGTTACCCATGATTTCCCTCCTGTTCCCCAGGCTTTGTATTGCACTTACGGGTTTAGTGCTTCCCCAGTGAAGCGTGTACACTCCGATCTATTCTTGGTGGGGTCGAGTCTTGGGAGCTGGGGGAGTGGGAGACCAGTGTGGTGGGGACTGAGGGGGCTAGTATATAGGGGACTGAGGGGACTAGTATGTAGGGGGCTGATGTGAGTAGTATGTTGGGGACTGAGGGGACTAGTATGTTGGGGACTGAGGGGACTAGTATGGTGGAGACTGAGGGGACTAGTATGGTGAGGACTGAGGGTACTAGTGTGGTGGAGACTGAGTACTAGTAGGTGGAGACTGAGGGGACTAGTATGGTGAGGACTGAGGGTACCAGTATGGTGGGAGACTGAGGGGACTAGTATGGCGGAGACTGAGGGTACTAGTGTGGTGGAGACTGAGGGTACTAGTATGGTGGAGACTGAGGGGACTAGTATGGTGAGGACTGAGGGTACTAGTATGGTGGAGACTGAGGGGACTAGTATGGTGGAGACTGAGGGGACTCGTATGGTGAGGACTGAGGGTACTAGTATGGTGGAGGACTGAGGGTACTAGTATGGTTGGAGTGACTGAGGGTACTAGTATGGTGGAGGACTGAGGGGACTAGTATGGTGAGGACTGAGGGGACTAGTAATGGTGGAGACTGAGGGACTAGTATGGTGGAGACTGAGGGGACTAGTATGGTGAGGACTGAGGGTACTAGTATGGTGGAGACTGAGGGGACTAGTATGGTGGAGACTGAGGGGACTAGTATGGTGGAGACTGAGGGGACTAGTATGGTGGAGACTGAGGGTACTAGTATGGTGGAGACTGAGGGTACTAGTATGGTGGAGACTGAGGGTACTAGTATGGTGGAGACTGAGGGTACTAGTATGGTAGTGACTGAGGGGACTAGTATGGTGAGGACTGAGGGGACTAGTATGGTGGAGACTGAGGGTACTAGTATGGTGGGACTGAGGGTACTAGTATGGTGAAGACTGAGGGTACTAGTATGGTAGTAGACTGAGGGGACTAGTAATGGTGAGGACTGAGGGACTAGTATGTGAGACTGAGGGTACTAGTATGGTAGTGACAGATGGGACTATATGGTGGAGACTGTGGGTACACTAGTATGGTAGTGACTGAGGGGACTAGTAGTGAGAGGACTGAGGGACTATATGAAGTGAGAGACTGAGTGATATAATATGGTAGGCTGAGGGGACTAGTATGGTGAAGGATGAGGTTAATAGAATACTGGTGAGCTGGGTACTATATGGTGAGACTGTACTGTACCTGTGGAGACTGAGGTACTTTATGGTGGCAAGTGGATCTAAGTATGGTGGTTGAGTACTATATGACTCGATTCCCTAAGTTCCTTCCACTGCTTCTGTACCTCCACACTATCATAGATTACACATGTGTTCATGACATCTCTAGAATAAGCAGAGTTCCATATTGTGTTCTGATGGTCAAAAGTAATCTAAATACTTTAAAGGTCACTATTGTGTTCTGATGACTCTTCTTAGGTCACAGTAATACAATATCTATTTGCAAATTTATTGGCAAATATGATGATATTGAATAAATAATAATTTGAATTAGCAGAGTATCATGGGTTCCATGGTGTTAAATATTGAATACTCAGGAGCATTTTGTGTATCCCTGTATCGTATTTCATTGGAACATCATTACTCCTCTCTTGCAATTATTGTAAGCACGATGATGTGTTGATGTAACACGAAAGGCTAGAGCCTATCATTCAACCCCCCAGGGGTTTATTATATATCTAAATCGACTGCTTCATTTGGGTTGTAAAAATCATGGTATGTATACAATTCATTATTAAGTTCATAATTATTAACAACTGATTGATATTAGTGGGAAGTCCCATGTGAGGGTTAATTAACTCAGTGTACACAGCAGTATAGTGGGTTGGTGAATTAATTGTTTTAATTGCAGGTTATTGTAACACTGCTCTAGTTATACCACGTTTATTGCAGGGTTTATTGTAACACTGCTCTAGTTATACCACGTTATTGCAGGGTTATTGTAACACTGCTCTAGTTATACCACGTTATTGCAGGGTTATTGTAACACTGCTCTAGTTATACCACGTTATTGCAGGGTTATTGTAACTGCTCTAGTTATACCACGTTATTGCAGGGTTATTGTAACACTGCTCTAGTTATACCACGTTATTGCAGGGTTATTGTAACACTGCTCTAGTTATACCACGTTATTGCAGGGTTATTGTAACACTGCTCTAGTTATACCACGTTATTGCAGGGTTATTGTAACACTGCTCTAGTTATACCACGTTATTGCAGGGTT